ACAACATTTTCCGTGATTTTGGATCTTTCCTTGGGACTTGAACAAAGATTTGTGTCTTTCTTTCTATTAAAAATAGCCTAAGATGTCTTTTCGCGATTCAAATTGAAAGTAGAGAGGACCATTTTGACAGTTGATATATTGCTCATCTTACTCATATATTGCTCATGTTAATCTTTTCTAACTTAAAATCTTTTTATTCCTTAAGAAAAATGAAAGAAAAAATAGCGTTCCAGGCCCTTTTTTGCACATAACATTCGGCCAAACACTTGGCTCAACTGGTAGAGCTTCCCAACGCCAATTATAGGTCGATGGTTCGATTCCTTTACAGAAGAGAGGGTACAATAAAAACATATCTTGAATTAACAGTTTCCTGCCACTTGAATGAATTATTTTTCCAATGGCTCAGTCGGTAAAGCTCTCTGAAGCTACTCAAAAGGTCGATGGTTCGACTCCTACTCATGACTTTTGCAAGAATAAAAGTTTTTCATCGGTATATAAACATATTTTCAGTCTTGCCATACAGTTTAACATTGAAAGCTCCTAAATTTTGAATAGCTCAACCGGCAAAGCCCTCCATCAACACCAAAAAGGTCCATAGTTCAAATCCGAACCCAAACATTTTTTTTGCAAAACACCCAAATTCTACCAGTAACCTATATATAGACCCGAAGAAACTTCACGTGATTATTTGTTTTTTCTGGGTGGTCCATTAAAACAGTGACCAGAACCAAACCAAGGGAACAGCCACCTATTTTGCAACCCAATAATCATCGGTTCGTCCTTGAAACGTGACCCACAAATAAATGATGAAGCGAATTTGTTGTGATCCTCTCGGATTATGATTATCTGATCACCAACAAGGATGCAAGCTTTATTTTGAGTTTTTGGTATAGATTTTTGGTATAGTTTTTGGTATATAAATGGTAGAGCCCTTGATTACAAGTATAGGAATTTTTGGTTCAGTACTTGGAAACTTTCGAAAAAGATTTAAATCAAGAAATTTTTTCAATGAACCATGTCTAAAATATAGCGTATAGGGATAATTAGTAAGCCTAGAGGGATACAATTCAAAAAATAAGTCCTAAAAAATGGCAAAAAAATTTTTTTCTCGAGGATTCGAACCAAAGAGTCCTTGAATGGCGTTAGGGAGCTTTACCAGTTAAGCTAAACCTGTAAAACTCATTCTAATCCCGAAATTAGTTATTTTGTCGATTGGACGGTTTCCTCATTCAGAGAAAGTTTGTCTAAAATTATAACTGGCTAATGGAAAAATGGCAAAAATCATATTTCACTGAGTGAGATTGAACCCCTGACTCCTTGAGCCAGAGCAAAGCTACAACCGGCTGAGCCAGCGCGTTTCTTCTGAGAATGAGCTGGAAAAGACATTTTCTGTCGAATTTCCAATGAGCAGGGCTTTTTTTTCACGTAGCGCAGTCGGTAGCGTTTTTAAGCTTCACTCGGAGACTTTCTGGTTCAATCTCCATTCGTTTTTTGCCATTTTAACCATCCAAACTCCCAAGGAACCCAACCAATGCAATCCGGATGATAGAGGACCCGAAAAAGAGGCTTCTTGGTTCAATATCCATACATTTTTTTTGTCATTTTTTCTTTCCAATACTTTTTAACCATCCAAACCAACTCTGCGGGAACCAAATCAATGCATTCCAACTGATAAAGGACCCGGAAAAGAGACGAAACCTGTCGGCCGTGCAGGTTTCAGATCAAATTAGGTGCCGATCGCGACGACGAATGATTGATTCGTCCGCCCATTCAAGGTACTTCCCGGAGAAAAACTACAGAGTATGACAAACGCTGTCACTTTTCTTATTTGGGTGTGGCTGGTCATGCCTCGTGATTGGTATGGTTCAAAAAGGTAGAATGGTTTAGTGATTTGATCGGATGGTTCTTGGATCAATCCTCGGAGCCGGAAGAGCAATTTTTGCCAAAATGTATAGCCGATTCGGAAGCTTAGAGAAACTGTCAGAGCGTTGGAAAGAGAAAAGTAGCTTGGCTCAGTGGTTTGCGATTCAGGCCAAGGATCCAGAGGTTCTTGGTTCAATCCCCGAGGCTGAAACAGCATTTTTGCCGATATGTATAGCCCATGCGGGAGCTTAGAGGAACTGTCAAAGCGTTTAAAAAAGTAAAAGTGACCTGGCTCAGTGGTTTGAGCTTCAGGCCAATGATCCGTAGGTTCTTGGATCAATCCCTGAAGCCGGAGAAGCAATTTTTGCCGGAATAGATAGTTGATCAGACAGTTTAGGTTGAGCTAATAAGATTTTTTTCCAAATTTAAAAAAAAGTGAGGACTTGGCTCAGCGGCTTGAGCTTCAACCCAAGGTTATAAAGGTTCTTGGATCAATCCCCGGAGCCGGAGAAGCAATTTTTGCCAATATTTATAGCCAGTTCGGAAGTTTAGGTGAGCTTTCAAAGCGTTGAAAAGATATAAAAGTGACTTGGCTCAGTCGGCGAAGCTTTAGGTCTAGGATCCAGAGGTTCTTGGATCAATCCCCGAGGCTGAAACAGCATTTTTGGCCGATATTTATAGCCAGTTCGGAAGCTTAGAGGAGCTGTCAAAGCGTTGAAAAAATATAAAAGTGACTTGGCCCAGTCGGCAAGCTTTAGGTCAAGGCTGCAGAGGTTCTTGGATCAATCCCTGAAGCAGCTTTGCCAAAATATAATAGATCAGACAACCTTATGAGGCGCTCTAACATACGTTGAAAATACAAATACAGCCTGGCTCAGTGGTTTGAGCTTCAAGTTAGTGATCTTGAGGTTATTGGTTCGACACCTGGAGCCGGGAACGCAATTTTTGCCATTAATGGAGGTCAAAAGAGGAGGCTAAACTATGCGTTTTTGGCGATTCTCAACCTCAGAACTTGGCTCAGTTGGTTACGCTTTCGATTACTGATTGAAAGGTTCTAGGTTCGAATCCTGAAGCTAAAAAAGGATTATCATATTTGCCAGAAATCTTGAAAATACAGCCAATTCTTGCTTTTTTTACAAGGCGATACCTTGGCTCAGTTGGTAAGGCTCTAGATTATCGAGCAAAGAGTCGTGGGATCAAGTCCTGTCCCCGTTTTTTGTCGTTTTGAAAGTCAAAAGTTCAATTCCCACAATACATTATTTGTTCTACAGCTTTAAAAATCTACATCTTATTCAAAATCCGACATTAGTAATAATCTCATGCGATTTTTTCTCCCATATAAAAATTTTTTCTCAGACATCCGGCTAACATTTGATGTGATAAGATGGTTTTCAACATGAAATCGGCTAAAATGGCCGCAAAATGTCAAAAAGTGTGAAAACTTAAGCTTCTTCCGGGAAGCTTAGGCCCGGGATCAGAATCATCCTTTCTTTATCTTCAGGACTTATCAAATTGGTTGAAGAATTGGTGGGAAAGCACGGACAAACATGTTTTCGTCCATTAGAACTATCCGTTTTTCGAAATTTTCACATGAAAAATTAGACGAAAATCGTAGTTTGTCTCATCTTTTTGCCCTCGGAAAAAGGGCGACGGGATAGCTTAACTGGTAGAGCATTTGAACATCACATAAAGGGTCTCAGGTTCGGATCCGGTCAGTGTTTTTGCAGTCATAACCAACAAAAGAGAAGGCTTTTCAGGTTTAATCAGTTTCTAATAGCTCTCAGAACAGTTAAACTTTCTTTTTGGGCATTTTTAGTCAGGAAGGATAGCTCACCCGGTAGAGCTTCAGAACAGCAGAAAACGAGTTGCTGGTTCGATTCCGGCTCTCGTTTTTGCGAAATTTCAGAGCGATTTCGTAAAAAATCTAAAATTTCTATTTTTCAGATTCGAAATCGGATGAAATATCTTTTCGCAACAAATCTAATTTTCTTTTTGCAAAAACACTTTGTCTTGCATAAAAGTCGTACTTTTCCCAAATTCCTTTTTTTTTTCGAGTACATATTTCAGAATTGTACTCGAGGAAGCTGAGAAAACGCATACATTAAGTTATAGGAGTATTATGTGTGAGAAAGGTACAAAAAAATGTGGGAAAGTCGAGGATTTGAATTGGATTATCATCAAAAAATCAAAAAAGCTTGAGCCGGCGACCTTTTTGGTATCATTTACGGCTTCTACCGACATACAAGTGTAGTGGAAAAAATGGCAAAAACCCCCTTCTTTCAAAGTTTCGATCCCATGACCCTTTCAACTCCAATCCATTCCACCACCTACTGAGCCAATGCTCTTTTTTAATTTCTTGCAATTCAACACATAATATTCAAACTAAAAAAGTTCATATACAAGAAAAAAATCACAATTAAAGCCAATAATTTGGGGGGAATTTGTTCATGTTGTTGGTACACGTGGGTGCATTTCGCGGCTGAGATCGATGAGAGATCAAACTAAATACAGTTGGAAGAAACAATGTGAGTAAATATGAACAATTTTTTGATAGTTTCGGCCAGGAAAATAGCCTCGTTGGGCGCCAGGGAGGGGGTAGGAAATTTCTAAAGGCTTTTGTTTTGTTTTCTGATAATTTTCATGGTCAAAATTTGACCAAAAAAGCTTTATTCTTTTTGAAAGATCTTTTCAATCTCCAGAGTGGTTTCGGCTCATTTTTAAGCTTTCAATTAATAGTCAAAAGCTCAAAATCGTGTTGAAAATTCTTCAAAACTATAGAGCCACATTAGGAGTTATGAAAACTATCCTGAGAGCTTCAGACAAACCCCAGGAAGGCTCAAAATCTTATCTAGATTTTTTTGAACCTTAAGTTCGCACTCCGAGAAGTTTAAAGCCTCAGAAAAGCTCCAAAGCGCTCTGAGACTTTTCCAAGCTTAAAGTTGGTTTGAAAGCTTAGGAAGATTTCTAAAAACCTTCCAGCCTTATAAGACAAACCTTCAATAAGATTCCCACCCCATCCCTGGCGCAATACCCTTAACAAAACAAGAAAAAATATGGAACAAACAGTGTGGATCGATGCTCAGCACTACTGTGTAACTGTATATGGAGATACCCAAGGTTCGGAAAAAGGTTGGAGATCAAGCGAGTTGATGTAATGAGACCGCCGAGGAGAGTATCCTTGACGGGATTTTGAGGAGGTCACTGACGGAGCTTGTCCTCGAGCCGGAGGAGGAAGGAGTCACGGCGGCTGCGGCGACGATGGCCGCCGCTTGTCTCAGATGCGTCGCCGGGATCGTCGGCGACGTGAAGGCTCGCTTCAGCTGCGGAATGTTGGCCCGCATCGACGTCGGCAGCTTCTCAGCCACGGAGGGGAACGAGAATTGCGTTCGTTCGGCTGAAAATTACGGAAATAGAGTAGAGTTCAAGAAAGGTTCCCGTTTCAATGATGTTCTGGAAGCTATTCCATTTTTTTTTTTTGGATAGCAAAAAAAGGTAAATTTATTTAATATTGATCAATCTGTTTCATTTTTCTATAAAGAGCAAGAAACATTGGTTAAGGTCAAGTATCTGTTCTGAATTTTAAAAAGTCGACAAATACTCAAAAATTCAGTTATTTGCTCTACCAAAAAAAAAACGGCTTTAAAAAAAAATTTTTCCTACGTTTCATTGAGAAGCGGATGCATACAATTGAAAATGAGAGTTAAAATTCTTCAATCGGATCAGAAAAAATCGATCAAAAATCGATTCCCTGTTTGAAAAAGAATCAGATCAAAGAAAAAAACATTTTGACTATGGAAATGTTGATTTTTGAGCCAACTTAGAAGTTTTAATTTGAAGTAGTAATCGGTTTCATCCTTTTTAAAAAAATTAATTTTTTTCTGAGTTAAAAATAATTAATAACACATCTTTCATACAAAAAAGAAAATTCTTAAATAATTGGTCAATAAATAATGGACTCACGGTCTTAAAAGTGAGAAAGAAATGACAGAAAGCATAAATTGAAAAAAAAAAAACGTGTCGAATTGAAATGCAGGCAACGTTAAGTTTCAACATTCTTTCTTATTCTACTAGAGAATCATATATTTAATAAAGATCTTGGAATCAATAATTGAAAGAAAAATGATGGAATAGCTTCAATCAGAACATGTCTACACGGAAAAATCACAAAAATACCAGAAAGCCTTTAAAAATGAATTAAAAAACGAACCAGCAGCACTGAGAGGCTCCATCGAGGGTTGAGAATGAGCCGAGGACCGTAAATTGTGGGGTCGCCGCCGGTCGGCTTTAACGCTGGCGACGATCGGAAAATGGTCAACTGGCACCTCGAATATCATTCTTCTTCTTGTTATCAGCGTCCGATTTATCAGGTTATCAGATAAGATCAGATATGTATCAAGTATAGTTCAATCCAAGTTCGATTTCAAACGAGAAAGGCGAGGGAATGCAAACGATGTAAAACGCCGCCGGCGCTTTTATATGTCGGTGGGCGGGGCTACCTGGCCACGCCCACTTTTTCCGTTCGCCCGGGGCTTCCCCCCTTTCGGCTTGTTGCAAATTTGTATGTGGGAGTGGCTTGTATTTTGTTGTTTTGTTTGTTTTTTTTTTCGAGATTCTTCTCCATTCAAAAGGTTTCAATAAGGCTTCCTGTGAAGGGACCATTTATGGTTTCCAGTTGATTGTTTTGGACGCCTTCTTGGGGTTTGAAGCTTGAGCGAAATCAACGAAACTTTTGAAGCTGGAAGGTGAATGGAGCTTTTTTCGAGAAAATTTCTGGCAAAACTGAAAATGGCCTTATCAAATGGGTTTCAAAAAAATTGGGGAATATTTTGAATCAAGCCTACAGTTCACAGTAACCAATTTTTCACAAAAAGTGCAGATTATCACTGGAGCGCACATAGCCATGAAAAAAACCGCCTTATTCTGCAAAATACAAATTTCAATCTTTGAAAAGTGTCTTATGAAAATTTAATATTTCTCTTTTTTCTTTGGCCACTTAAAGAACCACTCCGCAACTGTAGATTCATTGAGTTGTTTGTACCTCCAAACCGAATGATGGTTTTATTTTTGATCTGGTAGCGTCTTGAAATCACGCAAAGATCACTTTAGGTCAAAATTCGGATACGTCAGGGGGGAATGTGACCACGACGTAGTTGGCGGACGCTAATACCTACGCCTTTTTTTGGACTCAATTTTTTTCCTGCTACAGTAGGGCAGTTTATACAGTATACAGTATACCCAAACTACAACATGAATAAAAAAATGAAAGAAAAAAATTCAAAGAAAAAAACGTCAGCAAGCATGACCCTGACAATGCGTTGGGCACGTGCCATCGCGGCCGAAAACTGTTGATTTGTTGCCAAAAATGGAAACAAATTAGATGGAGAGAAGAAAGAGACACACGAAACTACGTATCAATTTGGAGAAAAACGCGATGTTCGCTGCGCATCAACTCCATTGTTGAGAACTATAAAAATGATCAAAAATTCCAAAAAAAAAAATTTAAAAAAAAACAAATAAAAATCGAAATTCGCTGCGTATCAACTCTATTCGTTGAAAAGGAGATTTATGGAACTCTGTATCAAAAAAGTGATTTTCGCTGCGCACCAACTTTAGCTGTTCAAAAAAAAAGGAAATAAAAAAAGGCTGTGAAGGGGGGTTCAAAACCACGGAACTGGAGTTCTCCAAAAATTATCGATAGAGCGCAAAAGCTCCAACAATCAAGCCAGACTCTCGTAAAAAAATGGCAAAAAAACCATCTCCCCGGACAAAACCTGAACCAAAGACCCTTGGAACGTCGCCAATCGGCCCATCCACTGGACCACCGCTTGTCCCTGATCTTTTACCTCTGGTCGCAATCTCTCGACAGATTCGATTATTTTAATCCACCCGAAAAACGGGTTACACCTTTGGACATCCCACAGACTTCAAGGAATGTCTCACGTCAAACACGTGTCGGTAATTATTCCGCAAATTAATCAGCTGACGCGCAGCGAAAGTGTTACCGTGGGCGATTTTCATCTGTTTTTTTGGTTGGGAGAAGTGGACGTGAAGTTTGTAATTTGAAAAAAGGACCTATTTGAGAGGTTCCAGGTTCGATTCCCAGCCAGTGAAAAATTTCTTTTGCCCTTCTGTTCGAGTTACTCGATATTCTTGTCCTTCTGACAGTAGCTCATTAAAAATACCAATGACAGTCCTTAGCTCAGTGGACTGAAGCATTAGCAACACTCAAAGAGTCTTTGGTTCGACACCTGTCGAGGACGACAGTTTTTTGCCATTTTCCTACAGCTTCGGAAGCGTTTTTCTCGTAGACTTTCTCCGACTTCCCAAACTTAAGCTTCAACTTCACGATTCGAAGTTACGAAGTTCGAAGGATCTCTGGTTCAAGTCCTGCCAAGGCCGACAGTTTTTTGCCATTTTTTCAAAGTGGCTGGGTTTTCTCCGAGCCATTTTAAAAGGTCCTAATGAACCAGAACACTGCTGTTTGACCTTATATGAAAAAAGTACATTTTCTGCTAATTTGTATCAAGGAAGCTTCTCGCCTCAACAAAAACAATCAAAGGTTCAACACGCCGTGAAAATAAGGACATCCTTTTTAAAGCATCCATGGCTCAACGGCTAGCTTTCCTGACTACTGTCTGGGGGTTTCAAGTTCGATCCCCATCAGAATTTTGCCGATTCCCGAACCGAGACGAACCAAGTAAATCATCAACAAACTTCAAATTGGTCTATAAATAGTTGACGTGCGTATAAATAGGGCAACAATCAACAGTAAACAGTAGTAAAACCCGAAAATTCAGGTTTTTTCATCGAAATAGATATTTTCCTTCGAAAATCGGTTTTCTCATTATTTACCGCATAACTTTCCAGACTTTTGTTGTCAAGTTGATCAAGGAAAGTCATGAGAATTTGTTGTCTTCTGAGCAATTTTTTGAATATTTTCAAGCATTAATCATTGAAAACAAAACTTTTCCAATTAACTCTCCAACTCGAAGATCAAATTAATCAGCCAATTAGTCAGTCTCCACTTTTTGTCTCAATGGGGGTCGGAAATTTGTTTGTTTCCAGAAGGGGATTTTTGAAAAGAAACAAGTTTGGAAATCAATAATCTGGCATTTTTGAGCATGAATTAGTGATTTTTTTCATGATTATGACTGAAAATTGCTCATGTTAACAAATAGAGAATATTGAGGAACTCTTCCGTTGCTGATTATTACACTATATTGCTCATATTTGACAAGAAGACTTGTAAAAAAATTAGAAAAATTAACAAATTTCTCATGGCGCCTAACTTTTGGATACATCTTGAAAAATTTTTCTCTTTTTTTATGAGATTTTTTTCAATATTTTTTTATTTTGAGACTTGAATAAAATCAACTAGAAAACTGAAAATTTTATCAAAAAACTTTTCAAGGCTCAGAATTGCTCACGTTATAAAAATCTAGCAAGTTTGGTGTCTTGTTTTGATAGCTTCGATGTTCCAAAAAATTTCACTTGCTCATAATTTCAAATTATGACTGATCATTGCTCATGCTACAGAAAGTCTTGAGTACATTTAGGAACCATTCTTCAGCGACTTCGGACCTTCAAGAAATCAAAAATATGACTTCTCATAGCTCCTGTTAGTGAAGATCCTAGAGAGATTAGGATCCAACCTTTTCCGGTTATTTACCCCAACTTTTTCTCTCAAGATCCAAAAATCAACGGGAGGGAGAAGTCCCACCTGCAGGGGAGCGATTTCATCTAACAGAACACGCGGAATTTCTTCCTTTTTTGCTGTTTTTGTTGATAAACGAGGCGATAATTGCCAGATAAACACCACCTTCGCCTAATCGAGTTAAACCGAGGCGGAAAATCATAGACGACTTTTCGAGCCGGATATTTGAATCTTCAAACGTTCATCCATGTTAAAAGTCATGAGGGAAGGGTCATAGGATTTTTTTTTTAGAAATTGAGGGTTTTTATAAAATTGTCTCTATAGTGAGCCAATATATGCAAGTAGAATGGCTAGACGCGAAACGGTCGCGAAGCGGTTTTTTGAGAATCGCCCGACCTGAAACGACTTTCGCGCATCAGTTAGGAGCGGGCTCATTTGTACAGTGTTTCTACAAAGTACTAGCTTCAACTTGTGAGCCACTGCTTGCAAGTAGAATGGCTAGACGCAAAACGACCACGATGCGGTCTTTTCAAGACTCGCCCCACTTGAAACGACTTGTGCATGGTATGTCAAATGGACTTTCAACCGGACTCCAACCGCAACGCGACCGCGACACTCTGAGCCATTACACGACCTTTCTGATCAGACTGGCTATTGTAACGGTACCGTATCCAAGCTCAATTCAAAAAAAAACCCCCCTATGTTCGGCTTGGAGGTTTTAAACTTCGAAAAACAATAGACCGAACTTTTTCTCAAAGGAAATCTCGGTAACAAAAGCTGAACGCGCTCTGGACATTTCTGAGCACTTCTAGAGATCACTTCAGAGATCAGACACTACTAAAGGGATCACTAGAAATGCTCTAGCACGTACGGAGCGCGTCTGACTTCACCATGATCCAATAGGTCTTTTAATTATCAATAGAGCTAACTTTCCGCCGACTAGTTGGCTAATTTTTCCTGGCTTCAACTTTGAAGCAAAGAAATTTTGCCGGAAAAGTTTCTGCTATTTTTTTTGTCCGTGAAGCTATTTTTGACCTCTATGTCCACCGTTCAATCTTTGAATTTTTTCTATCAAGTCTGGTGACCTTTCCCTTGCCGGCTATTTTCCTCCGAATCTCATGAACTACCGAAATAATGGAACAAGCCAAAAAACCACGAAAACAGGAAGTTTTTCCTCACGTGCTCTTCTAACCTGGGTGGCATTCAGTTGCTCTTGATCAAGTTATCAAAAACCGAGAAACTCGAAAAAACCACCAGAAAGGCCTTCTTATGGCTTCGTCTCGAGATATTTGAGGGTGGAAAAAAGAGAAATTAAGTTTTAGGAGGAAAAAGGTTTCAGATGTTTTGGCAAACACATGGGATGCCGGGGTTTCCTCGTGCAGTTTTGAATTAAATTTGAAAATGAAAAAGGTTTCGCGGTGTTTTTCAAAGAAATGGGGAGAGATGGTTCCGCTTTTCTTCCTTTCAAGGGATAGAGATTTTAAAATGAGATTTTTTGAATCGGTAAAAAAAATAAAACAAAAATGTCCTTCTGATGCGGAAAGTGTGCTCCATGGATAACTTATGCGTTCTGGAAAGAAGTAGGTGAAAAATCAAAAAAACAGTGTTTTCTGAAATTCCCAATGAGAAATGAAAGTAAAAAAATGACCAAAAAGGCGGATTTTTTTCATTCTATTTTTT